ATTTTGTCTTCAAGGAAATGAGACTGTACTTTTAACAATAGGTCCAGTCATCTCAACTTCTTTTCATTTCACCAGAAAAGGCTAGTTATTACCATCATTAATACCATCTAAAAAACTGTCAAACTGAAGGATTTCCAGATAAAACTCTAAAGGGAAATGGAATGAGGGATATAGTTAAAATCCTATTTTACATTTCAAATGCTTTAACTGTTTTTTTCTTTTCTGTATGTTTTGTGAAAAGTTAAAAAGATTTTGAATGATGTGTTTGTCATGGAACTAAGCAGTGTCTGTACCCAAGCCCCTGAACCATGTTCAACTGTTTAGTGTTGTACAGTGACAGGGTCAGAGTAACACCTTTTACTCTCTGAGCCCATTTATTCCATTGAATTTGACACAATAGGTCCCAATGAGCTTTGGGTCCCAATGACTTCAATGAGCTTTGGGTTAGGACATTAATCTGGATTTACCTTTCAGAGAAAGTCAAGCACAAACCATTTTTTTGGGGTGGGCATGGTGTGTGGAAAGCTAGCACAGAAGATGGGCATAGTTTTGCTACTGTGTATCTGGCTTCTAATTCTGACTGAGGACTGGAGAGGAAGAAGGGAATGCATCAGAAAGAAGTGAAGTTGCTGGAGGGTTGGAATCCCAGATATAGGCAGGTTAATTCCAGGGCAGCTTCTCAAGAAAAATGTGAAGATGCTCCACAAGTATTTTAATGACACAATTCTGAAATCCTCCCACTCTGCTTTTATTGTATTTTTTTTAAATAAGTCTTCCTCTGTATCATTCTGGATCACACCTGTCAATTCCCAATACCTGAATTGACATTTTTGAAGGCATCACAATGTACCTGTGGCAAAAGTTGCACTTACTGGATTTTTTCTCTCTTCTTTTCCCTTATTTTGTTGGTTTTCCTCTTCTTTGGTTTTTTATCCTCCTTCATAACTTCTGACCTCATGTCCCCCGACATTGCTTCTTCTTCTTTCTCTCTGTTCTTTCATCTCCTGATTTTCTTTCTTTTTTCCAACCTTCTCTAAACTATCATTTGTCTTTCACTTCATTCCAGCTTCCAATTTTCCCTTATTCCCCTCCCCTCCCAGTCCTTAAATTCCATTCAAGAATTATTTCTTTCTTGGTAATTTCTTGCCTCTCCATCAGTCTATCTCTCTGACTCACACAAAAAACTTGCTACATCACCTGCTCAATATGCTACATCTGTATTGTGAAGGGGTGATCAGAATGGAGTGCAGTGTTTCAAGAATGAAATCCTGGCCCCATTGAAGGCAATGCTCAGCTACTATCTAAGAATCTAAGGGTATGTGTACACATACAGCGCTGCAGCGGCGCAGCTCCTTTCTATTTTTTTTTAATTTTTTTTAATGGGAGTTATATAAGGAATTCATCCCAAATGAGGACATACCTTGGATTTAGATAATAGCATAATACTGTTTCCAGTATTTTCTATCATATTCTTTATACAGCTACACATTTTGTTTGCTGTTTTTGACCGCCACTACACAATGAACATGTTTACATCAAGCTGTCGAGATGACCTGAGGTCTTTTCACGAAAGATTACAATCTCCTTTGCATTTGTCAGCACTCATTTTCTGCCATTGTGCTGCTCATTCACTTAGCTTTATTAGTTTATCAGAAAGATTGAGAGCAAACATTAAGTAAAATCAGGTATTTGTGTGTGTGGCTCCTCTTAGTGTGTGGTAAGTGGAGCTTTGGAGTGCTGGCTGGGATCAGGTGTTCCAGCAGCATGTGTGGAGAAGGGGTCATATGTGTCATTGAAAACAAACAAAAATACAATCAAAAGGAAACATATAAAACCAATATTGACTTAAGAAAAGTTTGAATTGTCTTTAGAGTCTGGGAAATCCATGCAGGAGTTTGGCCTTCCTGGGGTTTGGCTTGCATTGATTACTGTTATTACTATTATTGCTAAAATCTTGTTCTAAAGCTCTCTAAAATGTAGAAAATCGCATCTGAAATTTCAAAAAATTTCTGGGGGAGGAAATCTAGATTCTCCCATTTAAATATTGTTGCTTCCCTATTGTCTCTCCACAGCTTCCCCATTCTTGTTTGCATAGAATGGCACACCTGAGTGTAGCCAATGAGTCTCTCAAAGTTTTCTGCTTCTAATATAGTGAGAGACTTTCTGGAGGAAAGATGATTTAGGGGTTATGGGTGCTAGTCCAGAACTTGGGTGACTCAGGTTTAATTCCCTGACCTATCATAGACCACCTGTGTTAACTTGGGCAAGTCACTTAGTTTGCCTGGGCAAGTCACTTAGCTTTAGTTCCCCATCTGTGAAATGGGGGTAATAGTTTTGGCCTACCTTGGAAGGATGTTGTGACGCTAAATATATTAGTGATTGTGAGATGCTCAGCTACTATATAAGAATCTAAGGGTATGTGTACACATACAGCACTGCAGCGGCGCAGCTCCTATCTATTGATTTTATTTGGGCTAAATTTCCATTTTTTGAAGGGTGCTTGTTTGATTTGGAAAACCTCCGTACCTTGCCATTTCACCATGCTTTTTTTCTTTTTGCTTACTGTTTCCTTTTGTTTTTAGTGCTATACATATCTTCTCTGACTCTGTAGTTTCCATGCAGAGTTTAAGGATTTTAATTTCCTTATTTCAGGTACTTTGCAACTAGCATAATCACGTAAAAAATTCTCCCTGCTGAAAGTTAAATTTCTGAGTGCTAGATTTTGGTTCTATCCCTCCCCACAAGGGTGTTAAACTTAATTATAATGTGGTTGCTATTACTTAGTTGGTCAATGATAGTTATACCTTGAACCAACACCTGCGTGCTACTTAGTACTATGATGAGAGTAGCTGCTCCTCTTCTGTGCTCCAGAACTAGTTGATCCTGTCAAATTGTCCTGCAATGAAATGAATAGTAACTTCAGAGCAACCTGTTAAGAAGCAGGGCACAAACCCCAAATTAGTTGTGAGTTCCATACTTTAATTTCACAGGCCAATTTTCAAGTGACAACTCCTTTAGCACTATAAGAGCCTTAACATGTCACAGACAATCTCCTTGGGTACTCTTTAGTTTGCACCCAGGTAAACTCGGCTTTGTGGTAGATGGTCCCTTCCATCAAAAATCACAACAATATTCAAATTACTCCCAGTCCCAAAGGACCAGTCATTTATCCCAGGTCAGAAGCATTTTAGATCTCACACCAAAGACAATACTTGTAGCCAATCCTATAATAATCTACCTAAAGGTTTATTAACTAGGGAAACAAAATAAGAGAGTTATTCACAAGATTAAAGCAGATAAACATACACACATGCAAATGAGTTACAGTCATAAGTTTCAAAAAATAGTAGCTTCTATAGTAAGCAAGCTTTATATGTCCCTGAGAGCTAACCCAGCTTAACACTGGGGATCTCTTGCTTATTCCTAGAAAACCTTGCCCTCGAGAGTCCAAGCAACATAGACATACAGTTTCTTCTAGCCAGGGATTTTTATTATTATTTTTTATTATTATTTTTTATTATTTATTTCTTTTCCCTCTTCTCTGAGCTGCCACTTCAGCTGATGGGAGGAATTAATTTGAACTTATCCTCTTCATGAGCGGGGAGAGCAACCAACAAAGTCCAGGCACTAATGGCCCCCCCACTTATAGGGAGCTTCTGGCACTTGCGCCCAGCCACCCCAAATGCTAGAGTCACACACCACCTATGTCGGTTGCATCCGACGAAGTGGGCATTCACCCACGAAAGCTTATGCTCCAATACATCTGTTAGTCTTAAAGGTGCCAAAGGACTCTCTGTTGCTTTTTACAGATCCAGACCAACACGGCTACCCCTCTGATAATTAACACCACCTATGGGTTATAATCCATACAGCAACTTATAAGCATTCAATAAAGTCTAAACTAAGCACATTTTTACAACCTTAATACCTATTTTAACAACAGTAATATACATAGGTGAGCCTGACTAATTCCAGCTATGTATTTGTCAATATCCAAGTGAAGCATGGGGACCTTGGCATAAGCTGGCACCTGATTTGCCAGTGTCACAGATCCACGAACCATTCATTTAAGGTGTTAAGAAATTGTGTCCTGAAGTGACCAGTTTATATGCGAGAAGTTGAAATGACCCATTATTGCTTTATTAGTTGTACTTACCTCTTTGGTCTCTCTTAGCATTGCACACCCAATGTTTTTCTCCTGATCTGGATGTCAGTAGTATGCTTTATATTCTGATGGCTTTGGAATTGTATACAGTGGTGCTGTATTGTCCTTTGGGGAAAATCTTGCTCCTTTAACGTGGATCTGGAGGACCTTGTTAGCAGTGGCACTGATGTGCAGGGCTGACGAGGGCGGGGGGGGTGGGGGGAAAGCCGGTACAAATTACTGGAGCCCGTCGGTCCGGAAGGGGGCCTGGGGCCTGGCTTCCCCGGCTCCCCCCCCGACCCTTGTCGGCCCTGTTTAGCTGATCTGCCCTTGCTGGGGGGCCCGAAATTTTTTTTTCACCCGGGCCCAAACTCACTCTCGGCAGCCCTGTTGATGTGCACCCATATGCCAATAACATGGGAGTTCTGAGAGAGGTTGCGGGAGGAGCAGGGACAGAACACTTGGATTTGTGACCACCTGGATCCACTAGAAATTTCTCTTCATAGAGCAGAGGCACAGGCACTGCAGAGGCTGCGATTGTGTTCACAGAACAGCTGTGCTGCTATTCTGCAGATTTGCAGGTCTTGGGGAGAAAACTTCCTTCCAGGCAGCTCCCAAGATATCCCCTGCACAACCTGCAGTTACATGGGCTACATGCTGGGAGGCAGGATTGCCCATATGCATTAACAGTGAAAAGCCTTTTCTAAGATATAAAGTGATATAAGTGCCAACACTATATTAAGTTACAAGATCTTGTGTCAGTCATTTGGATTGTTTGACAATCCATGAGTTTAATAACCATTTAACCTTCCTATCATATAATTATTACAGCTAAATTCTCTACTCTTTTAAATAGATGCCCGATTCAGGAAAGCCCACCTATTCAAGATTTAAAAGTTGCATTGTGAAGAAACTGACGTGCAGTGTCCCTGTTGCTAGTAGCCCTATCGTCACAAGATGGCAGCAGACACACGCAAGAAATCATGCCGAGCAAACTTTCACAGAGTGTCAGCCTATTAATCTCTTTCCAGCTGATGGATCTGAGCTAGTAAGGACTCCTGAGAAGATCTCAACAATCCCAGGTCAGTCTGCAGGTAGAAGAACAGCATGGAAACTGGATCACTCTGGAGATTCACAAGGGCCTCTAAAGCCCCCTGTTAATCTGCATCCAGCCAAAGCTGGTAGTGATCAAAAGTGGAAGGTTCAGTGTCCCACCTGAGATGTGTGTGTTGATGTCAGTCCAGTTCCTAGTGGATAAGTATTGCTATTAGAAAGACACGGTGAGCAAGGTAATATCTTCTATTGGACCAACTTGTGTTGTGAGAGAGACAAGCTTTCGAGCCACACAAAGCTTTTTCAGGTCTGGGAAAGGTACTCCCAGCATCACCGCAAAATGCAAAGTATTATCATTTGTATATAGCAGCATAGGTGTGCAGGAGCTTTAGAGGGAGAATAAAAGCACAGTGGAATTACACTACTCTTAAACTGGTGTAAAAGGAGAATCGGGCCCATGACCCCATCCTGTGGAATGTACAACCTAGCATAGATAAGGCATGTCATGCTGGTAATGCAGGAAGAGGTGACATCAGGGAAGGCAAAGGGAAAAAAAGAGCCAGATCCTTGTGTCCAGATAAGCTGTTTTCAGTGTAGGACCACTTTGGGCCCCTGGTCCTGGGGGAGAGATGGGGGTCTGAGTGCTCTAAGACGCAGTGGTTTGTAACAGTACCTTGGGTAGTTTCACACCAGCTGAGATTGCCTGGGATGCTCCTGGTTTCTTGGTGGAGGAGATGATACTCCCTCACTACAAGTTGCAGGTTCAGACATCTGTCAGATCATTTCCTGGCCTGACTTGGCCCAACTCTGGCAGCCCGAGGTTGTGTGGTGTGTAGAGGGACTTGGGAGGAGACCCAGGCTTGTGTCTATCCTTGTGTGTGTTGGCAGAGAGGAGTTATGAGAGAGCAGGCAGTGAACTGGCTGGACCTATGGTAGCTTTAACTGAGAACCTGAGGCTGTGTGGGTCAGGTGAGCTCAGTGCTGGCTCACTGAAATAACAACTATGAAAAGGGGGCACAGTTTCCTTGCCTCTTCTGGGGTGCCTGAGATTTGGTTCCCATATGCAACAATATCGAGGACAGATGGGGAAGTCGTTCACTCATTGCATGCACACAGTTGGCTGAGTTATAGGACAAAGTGAGATCCATATTTACCTGATTCAGGATGCAAATCATTAGACACCTAATAAAGGTTGCTCCTAAAAATAGAAAGTGGGTTGTCACCCTGTTCCTACCAGCCAAAGGCTGTTAGGGACACTTGCAATGTGTGCCACTTTCCTCTATTGAATGGAATGTCACAGTTGCTCAAGAGTGTGATCCTAACTCTCTAGTCTCTGGCTCACAAAGAAAGTATAAACCCTTAAACAAAAGGAGTTCTCCCTCCTTTAACTTTAATGGTAGGAGCTTGTTTTTATGATGCAGAAATCCCTGCGTTCCATTTCTGATGGTAATGGTGAAGTCGTGTGTAGCTATGGAATCCTTGCCAACATTCCTAGGAGACATTTCCTCTGAGGCTGAGTGCAGTGCCCTGCTCCTATCAGCCACGAAGCTTGGGATCAAGCTATCAGCATAACATTTGGATTCTCTGTGTGATAGTGCATTGTTCTACTGACAAAGCATCAGGCCAACCCTCAGGATTAGTGTTACCAAAGAATCTGCTCTATAATGGAAAGGAACAATACAAGCATTGGGCAAACGTACTAGTATTTTTTAAAGGAAATGTATCAATTAAAACCTTTTTTGCAGTATCCTTTCAGGTGCCTATCAAAAATTCTACCAACGAACCTTATATCATTACTAATGCCACAGCGAGGCGTCATGAGACGACTTACTTACAAGGAAGAAATAAAAGGAGAGCTGAAATTGCAAAGAAGAGGGTGAGTAATGTAACACTGCATATGTGCTGACAGGATTTATATTGAACCCTTTTCTGATATTTGCATTGTTAGTATATTTTGTTACCTTGTCCTCTTCCCAGAATCTCCTGCTTATTTTCTACCTTTCTAACATGTAAACTAGTGACAAGAACAGCGGGCTCCAGAGCAGCCTTCTAGATAAGTGTAATTAAAAATTGCTCTGTCACTTGTGGTTAACTTACATTCATGTGTCTCTGCTTCTCCAGACCGTAGAGAGACAAGGATGGTGAGGTAATATCTTCATTCAAAATTTTATTGAAAACTCACTTCTCCCATGAAGAACATAGTGCTGATCCATGTCAGTAAAAATTATCACATCATTAAACACAAACTACACTTTCTTCCTCTCTTCTATCTTAGTGCTATCTGCTTTGACTCTCAGTACAATCTTATGTTGTTCATTTACTCAGTCTGTAAGCTGTTTGGGTCAGTGACGGTGTGATGGCTGCCATCTTTGCTGATACACCGGGGTTTGAACCGAGGATCTCCAGAGCTAAAAGCATGAGCTAAAGAGTCAAGGGTGTATAGCTAGGGGCTGAAGCAACTGCTTCTCCCTTTGGCTTGTACAGCACCATTCACATGGTCAATATTGTCACAGGGTAACTGGCCCTGAAGAGGTCAGGAACCCAGCCTACCTGTGATAGGCTCTGCTAAGGAGAATGAGCCAATGCAGATCCACCCTTGCCTAGGGTGGCAGGTAATTAGTTAAGGAACACCTGGGTCTAATTAGGGTCATGAGGGCTCAGTCAGGAGGTCCTGGAATACAAGAAGCTCCTGAGGAAAGGGACTTCTCAGGGGAGCTGGTTAGAGAGTTCACCAGGAAAGGAGACCTAATTAGGGTTGCCGCCTCTGAGGAACAAAAAACTGAGACTATAAAACTGGACAGCTCACAGCGTATACTGAGCACCCTTACAGATTTCCCAGGACATCTACCTCAAAAAAAAGGAACAATCCTGGGGAAACCTGGAGGGGTGGTAACCTGAGACCTAGGGAAGGTGCTCCTAGGAGGAAGACATTCAAAAAGGGAAGCACTACAAGCATCAAGCCCTAGGAAGATCTTGTCCTGGAGCAAGGACAGCAGCAGGAGGTCCAGAGTGCAGAGGAACTATACTCTGCTCTGGAAAAGAGTTGCAGTAGCTTGATCGCTGGGGTGACCCTGAGCCCAGAGAAGAAACACTTCTCCCAGGTCATGGCAAGAGGCCTGACTCCAGAGTGGGTCCTGGGTCAAGAGGACCAAACTGGTAAGGAGACTTGCTGGAGGAGATTGATGGACACAGGTGGGCACAGGTAGATTAAGACTAATTTAGCCCACTGGCTAGAATGTTTGGGGCAAAGACTTGCTTGTGTGTCTGCTTGACTTTTGGTTAAATAAATTAGACATCTGGAGGGGCACTGTTCACTACATAAAAGCTTTGTTGAACTCACTAAAGTCCATTAAGGGAAACTGACACAGGTACGTACCCACGGTTTGGCACTGGGCTACCAGAAAGTGCTCCAGGGTTGTGTCCACCTTAATAAATAATACATATAAAGAATAATGATGTGCCATTTTCGCAGTCTTTCTTGTGACCATAATCACACTTTAAGGAGACAGCACAGTTGTTAACTCTGAATGTCTTTGCTTCTATTGGTTTGTGTCACATCATTAATATTATTTAAACATAAATGTTTAATTATAACGTGTATAGTGTGTCAGTCTTACCATATAAGTGACTGGGTGGGTAATGGATAACTGACCTGACAAGCTGCTGATTGGTATCCTCAACTGTTGCAGGTACCTTTTTATGATATAATAATACTACTTGTATAGCACTTTTCATCCTTAGATCTCAAAACACTTTACAAAGGTGGGTAAGCATCATGCTCTTCATCAGGGGCAGCTCCAGGCACCTGCCGGTCGCCGTGAGGGCAGCAGTCAGGCTACCTTCGGCGGTGTGCCTGTGGGAGGTCCGCCGGTCCCGCGGTTTCAGCGGCAATTTGGCGGCGGGTA